GTTCTCTAAACCAGGGCCCCTTTTAAGGGGTCCTTTTCATACTTCTTTTATAAGCGTTTAGGGGTTAGGGTTTTAAGGGGTCCTTTTATGCTTCTCTTCATAAGGGTGCACTACCATATGTGGGATCTATAACAGGACCCGAATTCAGAGAACTACCCATATGATGTATGATGCACAAATCACCGGAAAAAGCCCGCCAAAAGAACTACGTAACATAACTCACTTTTCTGAAGGCTTCCTACAACGTCTACATCAGGGATGCAATTCACACACTTTAAGGTAGACCCTATATCTGAATAGTTAAGTCTACACCCTTGCAGCAACTCTGCGACCCACCTTCGTCGCATTCCCCGGCTGCTGCCGCCTTGGTCGCACTGATTAATGCTACAAAGAGAGCACAAGAAAAGGTCTCGCTTTCTTCAGTTTAGGATTTCGAGCCCGCGGTCCTAGGGTCGAGCGTTTCGGTTCGCCGTCGAGATGTCGCGGTAAAGGGTTGGGCTAATAAGCGGCAATCGGAACAAACTGCGTGGCATGAGCTCTGCCCCTGCCACAAGTCTCTTCTGAGATGAGAACACTTTGAAAAAGGCAATGTTTACTCCTACCCAAACCAGCGAAGGAATCGCAGAAACATCTGGGTAGTTGTCAAAATTATGGTCCCTTTTGGGGTACCCTAAATAATAGGTGCCGTATTATAGTAAGGACCCAAAAAGGGACCATAATTTTGACAACCACCCAATCTGATCCCTGGAGTCGTAAGGGCATGGGCATGTGACAAAGGCACAGTCCCCCTGCAAACCGCTTGGAGCTCAGCCTTCGGAGGTGGGCACTTGAGGGGTGAACAACCCAGGGTTTAGGGTTTAGGGTTTAGGGTTTAGGGGTTTAGGGTTTAGGGTTTAGGGTTTAGGGTTTAGGCTTTAACAGCAAGGTTTCGGCTGCGGCGTCGTAGCGATGGAACATTTAGGATGTCAAGGGCAGGGCAGGGTGCAAGGCTCAGTGCTTAGGCTGTCAAGGGTTGGCCCCGAAGACTGGCATGAACGAAATCTACTCTGAAAACCTCGCTCAACAATCTAAAGCCAGAAACCCCAAAGCAACACAAAACATAGGATGAACTTCCTCAGAAAGACCCCTCGAGCCCTAACCCTTACAGAAGGGGGCCTCAAGACATCCGTCAGAACTGACAAGGGAAGGCTGTTGTGCTAACAATGTCTCAGGAAAGCCTGCGGAATACTGTACAACTTATAGCATTTCAAAGGATTCCACCGAGAGGCTATGGAGAATTTTCCGAACATCCTGCTCTTCCAAGAAGAGTGGCTGAACCTTAGGCATTTGGGGCTCAGGGTTTTAGGATATTGCTGTCGGTTAAGGGTTTGGGATTTTAAGCTAGCATCGGGGATGAGGGCCTCCTTCGAAAATCAGGATCTTACCTCGATGGGCCTCATGTTGCAAAGCCGTCCCGAAGGCCTGAACCCTTGGATAGCCACCTGGTTGCTGAGCCCTGTTCCTCGTCTAGAACTCAATAGACTCATGATTATGAAGGAACGAGAACGGGGCTTGCTCATAAGAGGTCCGTCTCCACTCATGCTGAACCGTCTACCTGACGAGATATCCGTGCGAGATGCTCACCACTACCACTGCGACTGCAGTTAGAGCCAGCAGACATGTTGCCCTTACTGCGACGACGGCGACCAGTAACACGAATATTCACATGAGGCTGTGCAAGTGTGAGTGCCCAAAATTCGGCCACTTTGAGCTTCCTCCACAGACGACATCACACTTGAACAGTATTGCCGAACCGGAACCTATTATCGTCCTTATTCTTGCTTTCATGATACTAGTACGTTGCAAATTAACAGCACAAACCCCATGTTGCCGTCGTCCCGAGGAGCTCTCAGAGAACCCAGCTTCCGAAAACCACGGTATGTAAGGCCCTGGCCGTCGTCCCAAGAAGCTTTCGGCGGTGAAAGCCCTTACACGAGAGGCCGTTGCCTGGAGACGTTGCGTTGGATTTCGGCTTTAGCCTAAACCCTAAACCCCTGGTACCCTAAACCCTTAACCCCTGGCACCCTAAAACCCTGTTTAAACCAAAGCCTTACACCTCAGAGGAAGGCTCTTGGCTTCCGTTGGGGGGAGACGCCAGACCTCACCTGCCATGGTTCTGTGTATACTGTAAACATACACACGTTACGTAATCATGTACCGAGATGTAGATAGGTAGATAGATAAATACCCAAACATTGCGTGAGTATATATATATATATACATGCATATATACAGTATATACACATGCTGAACTGTAGATATCTATGTGCATGCCCTTGTGCTGCTTGCTGTTGTTCTTGCTGCTGTGTTTGCTGCTGGTGATGGTGGTGGTGGTGGTGGGTGGGTGGTGGTGGGTGGGTGGTGGTGGTGGTGCTTGTGGGCCGGGTTGCTGCTGCTGCTGCTGTCGCTGTCACTGTCACTGTCACTGTCGCTGTTGCTGCTGTTGTTGCTGCTGCTGGCGGTGCTGTTATTGACGTTGTCGCTGTCGCTGTGGTTGTCTTGTTGTTGTTGTTGTTGTTGCTGCTGCCGCTACTGCTGGTGGTGTTGTTGTTGCTGCTGTTGCTGTTGTTGTTGCTGCTGTTGTTGTTGGTGTTGTTGTTGCTGCTGCTGCCTATTGCTGTTGTTGCTGTTCTGGTTGCTCTCGTTGTTGGTTTTCGTTGCTGTAGTAGTAGTAGTAGTAGTAGTTGTTGTTGTTGTTGTTGTTGTTGTTGTCGTGGTAGTAGTAGTGGCAGTCGTAGTGGCAGTAGTAGGAGTAGTAGTAGTAGTAGTAGTAGTAGCAGCAGCAGCAGCAGCAGCAGCAGGAGTAGTAGCAGTAGTAATAGTAGTAGTAGTAGTAGTAGTAGTAGTAGCAGTAGCAGTAGTACTAGTACTATAGTAGTAGTAGTAGTAGTAGCAGTAGTAGTAGTGGCAGTAGTAGGTGGTAGTGGTAGTAGTAGT